CTGCTACAGGAGTGTTACTTTTAACAAATGTGAAAATATTCCAGCATTTTCCAAACCACAAAAAAGAAATTATACCGTAATAAAGTAATAAACAATTTATTACTATTTATGAATATTCACTCTTGCAAGTATTAAATTTAAAAGCATTTATTGTCAGCTACTTTAATATTATTGTAATGTACAAGATGTTTTAAAGTGAGTAAATGCAAAAAAAGCAAATATATATATATATATATTTCAAGTGTGCAGAGCAGAATCCTGTGTGTGCTAACGGCAAATATAGCCTAGACTGTATATAAGCTGCTTATATAAAATATATAATAAATATATACAGTGCGTGGACAAGACCCAGCTAAATACACTGTGAACTCCTTATTACAGGCAGAAAAGGGTTAATTACTCTGTAAGTTAAGATCCCGTGTCCAAATACGTTTCTCATTAAAGGTAGACATAGCCTACTTCCTAAACTTACTTCTGACTAAGTAAAATCTTCGTTTACCAAAATAAAGAATGAAAAAATGATATGTGGTATACAAAGCCAGATTCAGACATTAGTGACAACCGTACAAGAGGAATCATTTTCCCGACTGGCTTCCTGGTACAAGAGCGAGTTTTCAGTATAACTCTAAAACTATGTACAAATCCCGTTAAAAATCTTAAACGTTGAATTTATTTTTTTTTTTTTTTGAGAAGCTATAAATGTGTTACTTTACTAAAGAAAGCAGTATACAGTTAGCTGTAAGTTAGCTGTAACTAGGGGCTGAATGATGTCATGTTAACGCTAGCACTTCCGCCTTTCCTCCGCCATTTCACAGCAACTGAAATGTGTCTAAATGTAAGCCAAGTCAAGGCAGTTATCGCCAAATTGTATTTCAGCTGATTTATTTGAGACACACTGTAGCTATTTGGATTAGTTCAAGTGAGAATAACTTACCGGTTCGTGTGTATTTAGTGTAAAAGTCTGGTATGGTGGTGGTGGTGCTGCTGGGCGGTTTCTTCACTTCTTCTCTCTCTCTCTCTCTCTCTCTCCGCCAGATGTGCTCAGCAGGAAGCTTATGGCGGTAACCATTAGAGGAGGTGGGCTGGAGAATAAGAAGTTGACTACACAGAATAATATCATATAGTAAATATCTAAATATCTAAAATGCATATCTAAAATGTCGAACCTAGTGCAAAATAAGCTGGATCTAATCTATAGTTTGTTCATTAGAAGCTTTAATATGAAGTAGATTACATTCACACATTAAGCAGCCTTTTATTTGTCACACATACATTACAGCACAGTGAAACTCTTTTCTTGGCATTTCCCAGCTTGTTAGAAAGCTGGGGTCAGAGTGCATGGTCAGTCATGATACAGCACCCCTAGAACAGAGAAGGTTACAGGCCTTGCTCAGGGGCCCAACAGTGGCAGCTTGATAGTGCTGGGGCTTGAACCCCCAACCTCCTGGTCAGTACTTCAGTAACCCAAAGCCTTAACCACTAACCAACCCCTAAGTGGAACGTTTGTATTGAAATATGAATGATGTGCTTTGTGATTCTGGTACTCGTTTGTTGGTTGGCGCTGTATTTTCATTATTTCCATCAAAAGTTAAGGATTATCTGCCACTCTGAAATCACAGGGGGACAATATTCAACTACAGGTTGTAACTCCTAATTCCTGACCTCCAACCATGCAAAACCACAGAAAATGCCACCACAACTCGGAATTCCTACTCGGAAACTAGGCATGGTCTCCTCAACCATGAGTTCCACCAAGTTCAGCAAGTGACATCAAATCAATATGACTGCATGCAGCATGAACAGTAAACAAAGTAACACTTCTTATCTTTAAATGAGTTATTCTGTATATACAAGTATTTGCTTTAGATTAATCAATATACAAACATACTATATTTGCTCGTTAAATCTACAGGGTGTCCCAGAAGTCTCCATACACAGTGGACTATGTACGCCAGCACTACGTCAGTTGTGCTTTCATCAGTGGATGTTCGTGGACGTCTACTAAGTTGGTCCACAACACTTCCAGTTTTTTTTATTTGTTAATAAGTTTTGGAACAGTGTCGTGTGCAATGTGCTTGCCATGTTTCCTGCGATAGCTTCCCAATCCAGCCATGACAATGATTTCAATACATTCTTCTCTTGTCAAAGGCATTCTTAAAGGCCATCTGAAAAAAATATATATAATATCAACTAAGTATGAAACAATTTGGAAGACATTCTGCTAAAAAGTGTTCATTTCCCCTATGTATGGAGACTTTTGAGACACTCTGTATAACATTGACTATACAGTTCGCTGTTTTGAGGAGGAATATATACTGTATATATACATGATTTGTCACAGTTAGCTGACTAGCTTGTTGCTAACAAAAGGCATCCTTTTTTTCCCCCTATTTTTTAGCTTGCACAGAGGTCAAAAATGGCATCATTCCGAGCCTCCCAATTCTGAGATAACTCAAATGCAGCATTACTAGCGCAGGTGCTGAATAGGAGAAAAAGTTTTAATAGGAGGAAATTTTTCAAATATCTCAGACGAAAGGGATAATGGTAAGTTTTCTGTTACCTCCTAAAAACAAAAGAGTAAGTGTTTCTTTCAAAGTCAAGTCAAGTCAAAGTCTGCTTTATTGTCAATTCTGTATGAACAGGTCCTGGGGTAGTGGGGGGGGGGAGTTGAGCTTCCTGACAGCCTGGTGGATGAAGCTGTTTTTCAGTCTGCTGGTCCTGGCCTGAATACTCTGCAGTCTCCTCCCTGATGGCAGCAGACTGAAGAAGCTGTGTGTCGGGTGGGTGGGATCACCCGCAATGCAGAGGGCTTTGCGGGTGAGACGGGTGCTGTAAATGTCTTCTCAGCTGCTCTCACTATGCGTTGGAGGGTCTTTCGGCAGGACGCGTTGCAGGCGCCATACCACACAGTGATGCAGCTCGTCAGAATGCTCTCGATGGTGCCTCTGTAGAAGGTGCACATGATGGGGGCCGGGGCTCTGGCTCTCTTCAGTTTACGCAGGAAGTAGAGACGCTGCTGTGATTTTTTGGCCAGTGATGCAGTGTTGTCAGTCCAGGAGAGGTTTTCTGTGATGTACACACCCAGGAACTTCGTGCTGCTCACCCTTTCCACAGTTGCACCGTTGATAGTCAGAGGAGCATGCTGAGTGTGCACTCTCCTGAAGCTGACAACAATCTCCTACAATAACAGTCTTCTCCACATTCAGAGAGAGATTGTTTTTTTTCCAAGTCAGAGGTCAGAAATTCTATGTCAAGAGTTTTAGTCGAATACAGCATTATTCCCACTGGCACCACTATCAGCAGGTAGACAAAAGGCATTGTGGGTAATTTGGGAAACCATTAACCAAAGTGAAAATAGATCAATTTGTCAATGAAGGAAGTTTAAACTAAAAAAGGTAACTATAAAACTATAAAAACTATAAAACTTGGAATTTCATTACAAAATAAATCTTGAATGCCACTGAAGGTCTGATGTTGCTTATACGGATTAACATGCAGGTAATTTAGCGTGTAATTTGGCTGTACTTTGTTATTGAGCATTTCTGTACGCTTTGTGCTTGGGTATACTGTAGAGAGGATAAAAAACTTATCAAAATACAGAACAAGTTAGAAAACAATCCACTTTTCTACAAATTCACACAGTAAATTGATATCCTCTCATAGGATGTGGTGGACAATTCTGGGAACATGGTAGGGGCTTAAACAAGAACATATGGCTTCATGAGGTATTTATTGTGCCCCCTGCTGTTGAATGATGCCATTTTCTTTTCATCTCTGTGTTATATTCTACTGAGTTCTGAAATGCATTTGATATGCATTTTTTTCAAATCTAGCTTGGTGAAATGAAGCAGAGGTGGGTACTGCAGCCACATGGCTGGCAAAATACAGGCAGTGTAAAAGGAATCCTTCACATTTTTCAGGTGATCCATTAAAACAATCCACTTTAATGAACTTCTTGTTTGTGTTTATTGTTTCTGATGTAGGCAGGGGAAAAACAGGTGGGTTTGGGGTGGGTGCAGTATGAGCACCTAGCATAATGAGCAGTTTGAAAACAGTTTGTGCAATATGTGCCATCTAATTCTCATTTAAAAATCCCTGTGTTGTCAGAGTCACCTGTTAACTCTGCTGGGTCATGGTGAAGTCTTCAATATCACTCGGATGTGGCTACAATTCAAACTAATTTTTTTTTTTATTTATTTTTTTTTACAATAGAAACACAAAAACACAAATCCAGCAGGTAGCAATTTTGACACAGTGAAATTGGAGCAATGAAGAGAACCCAGAAATCAAAGGTCAAGTTTCAGAGTGCTAAAGACTATATGAAGAGAGTTCTGGAGAAAAAAACTAATGACCAGACAAGAGGAAGTGTAGCCTGTACCAGAGTCATGGAAGTGTGTAGAAAAACACCTATTATCTCACATGTGAAATATGTGGCATAGGCACATATGGCTGTCAGCCAAACTCGATATATTATTACACAAAACAGGTGTTCTTAAAGTTTCATTGCAAGCATCACCTTTAACTGTAAAATAAAATCCACAGGCCCCATCAGTACAGTACATTTCATTAAAATTATTTAAATGTTTACAGTAAAATTTTGGATATTTTTGAAGTCATAGAGTTTTCTATTTCTGAACATTTCACCAACAGGACACATTAGGTCCAAGCTGACATTATTTATTAGCTGAATTATTTTTTAATTGTTAAGGCTTGGAATGAGCACAGTCAATTCAATGAACCAGCCAATAACTGTAGGAACTGTAGGAAATATAATAAATCTGATAAAAGTAGATTAGGTTACTGTTACTAAATTAAAACATCACAGCTTCATGGACCCCACTTTGAGAACCAGTAATATAAAAGTAATATCAGTTTTCTTTCATTTACAGCATTTGACAGACACCCTTACCCAGAGCAACTTACATTTATCTCATTTATACTAGAAAAAATGAAAAAACCAAGGGCTAAGGATGTTGCTCAAGGGCCCAGCCAGGGGAGCTTAGCAGTGCTGGGGTTTGAACTCATGACCTTCTAAGCACTAGTCCAATGTTTTAACCACTGAGCTACCATTGCCACAGAACTTTGCTCTTCAGGACCAAAGACTGGCTGGACGCCTGACCTGAAACCCACTGAGCTTCATTCCACTTCCAGAAGACAATTCTCATGGAAAAACCACTGAAACAAGCAAGAAGTGAAAATAGCGGAATTGCAGACCTGTTACAGATGGTCATCAACATAACAGATTATTTAATGTTATTTAAAATTCGATGCGTTTTCAGTCCCAGTAGGGACAGCAGGTCCAGGCCTACATTCCTCACCTTCATAAAACCTTTCCTAATAGTTTTAACTCACAGTAGTTACTGTAAAATATGTCATTTTACAAAATATATCACTTGTTCTTTGTATAATCGGACGTAAAGTTGTCACTTTACTTTTTCCGACATGGGAAAGTGTTCAGGGCAGAGGAGTTTACAATTTGTGGTTTCTGTGTAACATGACATATGTTTTATCTTATTATGTTCAATAGAGAGAAAAAAGAGAGGCTGGTGAGGGAATGGCTATTTATAGCTGTTATAACATAAGTGATAACAGGAACTAAACTTGTTTTGCAAATGGTCCACAACATTATACAGTACTCTGCAAAAGTCTTAGGCTCATGCAAAGAAATGCTATAGAGTAAAGATGCCTTCGAAAAATAGTCAAATGAAATGTTTCTACATTTAAAGAAAAAATACTATAAAAAAGCAGTAAACAGTAATAAATGAAACAAAGTCAATATTTGGTGTGACAACCCTTTGCTTTAAAAATATTATTAGTCTCAGGTACAATTAATGCAGCTTTATACTGTAAGTAAATTAGCTGTAAGTGTTACTGAGCATCTTGCAGAAGCAGCCACAGTTCTTCTGAAAACTTTGGCTGTCACACTTGCTTCTAATTTTTCAGCAAAACCCAGCAGCCTTCATTATGTTTTTTTTTTGTCTGAAAAGTGTCTCTTACGTAATATGCTGCTTTCTTTACTGGCATATAAATATTTTTCTGTAACATTTAATTTTGTGCTGGAAAACTAATGTTAGGGAATCTAAAATGTTTTTATACTGACTCAATAATGTAGAAGTCATAAAATAAAAATCTATGACAAAGTTTTTACTAAAAAAAATATAGGGTGCCTAAGACTTTTGCACAATACTATACATAACTATACATTGAAAAAATTGCTGTGGTATAAGAAGAATAAAGCACTTGGGAACATCCTGCTATCAGACCTGCATAATCCATTCACTTGCTTGAAGCTTCCTTCACCTGGGAATCACTTGCTGCTGATAAAGATGGCTATGCTCAAGTCTCATTCTCAGTGGTTAAGATGTTGGACTACTGATTGGAAGTCATGAGTTCAATCCCCAGCACCACCAAGCTGCCGCTGCTAGACCCCTGAGCAAGACCCTCAGTTGTATAAATGAGATAAACGTAAGCCACTCTGGATAAGGGTGTCTGCCAAATGCTGTAAATGTTGTTCATTATTAAGTGAATAACTTCACTTGAAATCTACAGATTTAAATGAACTCTAATGAAATAAAAAATGACTCTGGTGCTCATATATGTCCTACTGCTTGACTTTATAGCATACAGTTGTGGATGAGTAATGACTCATAATCACACTAAAGAAGAAGATGGATTTCTTTTTACATCTGGTTCCTCACAAGGTTTCTTCCTCATTTCGACCCAGGAAGTTTTTCCTTGCCACTGTCGCCTCTGGTATGCTCAGGGGGGATCTAAATTGAAGTCTACATCCAGATTTCTGCAAAACTGCTTTGTGGCAATGTCCATTGTTAAAATAAATAATATAAATAAAATTTAATCAAATTGGAAAATAATCAACTAATTTAAGCAAATTCACATCACCCTGTTGATGATTATTTTTCCATAAAAATACAACCTGTCATGTTTTATTACTTGCATATTTAATCCAGTGAGCTAATGAAATGGGTCATAATAATAAAAAGTGTCATTTTTCCAAATGCATGCAGACTGCAGTCTGTATTGTAAAGATAATTGGGTGTCTGTATATTGTATTTTTAAGCTGATGACATAATTCTTTATTCCCGTCCTCTGTCTACAGAACATGCCATACTGAGTAATGAAAAAAGTCATTTAAAACTACCCATTTTTTGTTTTATTACTCGGTTTGATGTAACAATTAAATATACAAAGACAAAATATTCACTCAAAGCTGTTAACCTTGGGAGATGGAGAATATAATTAAGACATTCAATGTTTTCAGCGCTGTTAAAGTAATCATTTAGTGATTTTTTTTTAGTGTTTCCAGTAAAGGCAATGTACTCTAGTATTAAACAGCAGTAGAAACAACCTCCTTTCTCTGTATAATTAGGCTATTGTTGACCATCAGATCTTCATTCTCTCGTTATGAAGTCACCTTGACATTAAAGCTTTAATTCACAATTGTGTTCCTTATGGTAAAGTATAGTATAGGACCTGGATATAGCTAACGAAAAAGCTGTCCACCTGAGTACTTAATATTTTGTACATATTTTGTAAATGCAGCCTTCTTAAAAGTGAAACTTTTAATTCTGGCTTATTTTAATCCCTGTTGTCTGTATTATAGAACTGAGCAGATGAAAGGAAAGGCAGGGTAAATTCAAGGGCTATTTTTTAAGGGAGTGGAAACATGAAATCTGAGCGTGAATTCAGTCTTTGCCATTATCTGTAAAGGTTTTATTGGTAATTGTCACTGCTGTATAGAACACTAGAATCAGCTAAAGTTGATCAATGTCAGTCAATACGCATCAATACGATATGCATAATATGATGGTGTCATGTCTGCTCCAAGTTCTCATTTACACTACCAGTCAAAAGATTGAGCACACTAGATTAAATATATTTAATGTCTTAAAAACATTTTGATAAAGGTTTATGGTTGAAAGCTCATGGAGTTAATGTCTTCATTATTATTCTTAAAAATAGTATGAAAGAGTAAAAACAAAAACTTCTAAGAGCATGCATGTACAAACTGATAGTGTAGTGATTTTTTAAATTGCCAACTTTAAAGGCCTAAAAAATTTAATTCAATTTTATGTGTATATTGCTTTTAACAGTAGACATTGTAACATAACAGCTCTATTGAAATCTCTGTGCATTCAGATGTAGATTTAGATCCCTAATGAGCAAGCCAGAAGCGACAGTGGCGACATGAGGAAGAAAGGAAGAACTAGATTCAAAATGAAACCCATCCACTTCTTGGTTTCACCAGATAGCGGGATTATACATCATTACTCTTCTACAGTTGTATACTAAACAGTACTAACTGTGTTGAAAGGATTTTTCAGTATGAGCATCAGGGTCTTTATGCAGCAGCAGTGCTTAGGCACAAATCTATAGTTCATCCACTGAGTCTTGGGCATAAATTTAGGGTATCTGTGAGTGACCACTACACCAGTAGCAGGTGAGACAGTGTAAGTGTGTGTGAGAGAGAGAGAGAGAGAGAGAGAGAGAGAGCAGATTATTATGCTCTTAACCTACAATGGCTTAAAAGGGTGCACATTGTGAGGGTACAAATGGGGCCTCATCCTAAATCATCCTAAGTGTCGTAATCATGACAGATTTATTTTGCAGCTGTGTAACTGAATTATCTATAAATACGATTAACTGTAAGTTAGACCTAAGTTGGGGTAATTACCATTTTTTGCATTTACTTATAGTACTAAGTATATTAGTATATTCAGTTATTTGTATGGAAAAGACTCCAAAACACTTAGCTGAGTCAGAACACAGCATAAGCATATAATGTCACTTCCAGAGTTATTGGCATGCTTCAAACAAATCATTTTTCAAACGTTCATTTATCATTTCTGCACTGTGTGGGTAGGAGTGTGCAACTGTAGCACAAGAATTTTATTGTATATAGATCCTCAAGCACTCTTTATGCACATGACAATCAACTTGAAAATTTAAACTTGAAACTAGAAATGACTGTATAAAATAACACATTTTTCCACTGCCTTGGTTAGAGAAATGTCTACCCCCCCAAACAGTGACACCCTTGAAGTATATTTAAAATAAAATATTTTCACTCTTAAAAAAACCTGTATACAAAAAAGTACTAAAAACACTTTTTCCATGTAGCATAAACGCACTGCCTGTGCATTCTGCCAATATGTAAATAGATTAAGTAGGATTTCTTGTCATTGTCAGCATAGCTTCCCTGAACGATTGGCCTGAATGATTAATATTTATCCTGCATTAGGCTTGCATACGTTTTCCAACACATCTGCATTTAAAATTGCTATGGTGTCTTCTTTTTCTAGTAAGATACTTTTATTATTCTATTATACACCGATCAGCCATAACATTAAAACCACAGACAAGTGAAGTGAATAACATGGATTATCTCGTTACAATGGCACTTGTCAAGGGGTGGGATATATTAGGCAGCAAGTGAACAGTCAGTTCTCGAAGCTGATGTGTTGGAAGCAGGAAAAATGGGCATGCGTAAGAATCTGAGTGACTTTGACAAGGGCCAAATTGTGATGGCTAGACGACTGGGTCAGAGCATCTCCAAAACGACAGGTCTCGTGGGGTGTTCCCGGTGTGCAGTGGGTAGCACCTACCAAAAGTGGTCCAGGGAAGGACAACCGGTGAATCGGCAACAGGGTCGTGGACGCCCAAGGCTCATTTATGTGCATGGGGAGTGAAGGTTAGCCCGTCTGGTCCAATCCCACAGAAGAGCTACTGTTGCATAAATTGCTGAAAAAGTTAATGCTGGCTATGATAGAAAGGTGTCAGAACACACAGAGCATCGCACCTTGCTGTGTACGGTCAGAGTGCCCATGCTGACCCCTGTCCACCGCCAAAAGCACCTACAATGGGCATCCATTGTCCAGCACCAGAACTGGACAACGGAGCAATGTAAGAAGGTGGCCTGGTCTGATGAATCACATTTTATTTTACATCATTGGATGGCCGGGTGTGTGCGTCGCTTAAGTGAAGTGAAGTGAAGTGACTTGTGGCCAAGTATGGTGACCCATACTCAGAATTTGTGCTCTGCATTTAACCCATCCA